TGCCATTGGTCCACTGACAACACCCACAAGAACAGAAGTGCCATTATAAGACCTGGCCACTGCACCTACATTATACTGGGACTTGACTTAGGTTGAAACTTTATTCCCTAAGTTTCTTTTGAAAATATCTTATAGGACTAAATCCCCTGGGATAACAGTGCACTTCAGAGACTGACCTCACCATGTGAAAAGAACAAAAGAGACATTTTGCAGTAAGTCATACACACACATTCTAAGGTACTTCCAAGATGAAATACTGATAAGCATTATCACCATGGAAATAGAGCAATGCTAATCACTATGGTTCCCAAGGCCCGGAGGTTTACTGTCCCGGGTATAAGGAGAAACCCAAACCGTTACTCTGTACAACTGCCACCTCGGCTTTTGCCTATGCTTTCACCTAAGGGTACGCTTTGTCCTTGCACTGTGTTTTCTTTATGATAAATTCTCCCTTTCCTTTCACAAATGTTTTGCTGTCACAGTCACTGCAGATCCAGGGAGTTTTCTCACTCACCAGATCCAAAGAGATGGGCGGAGAGGAACAGATTCAGTTGCCACTGGAGGAGGAGAAACGCTGAGCCGCTGAAGTGCTGGCCGCCGCTGTCCAAGGGGGAAGGCTGAGTGAGCCAGGAGGGAGTCTCTGCCTTCAGCCCTGTGTGCTGCAGGGATTCTGGGGCTCCACATGTATTTATACAAAAGGAAAGCAAAACTAACTCACCACAGTAACATTTCTGGTCACTAAAGCACTTCCAGGAAAAGAAAAGAAAACATTATGTAACTTCAAGACGCTCAGAGCTTGACAGAATGTCAGGGACAAGTTCATACCAGAACAGGCAGGTTCGTCAGGACCTCCGGGAGGTCACAGCCAGGACCCCGGGGGATGGGTTTCCAGGGCCAGAGGGGCCCGGGGGACACGTGGGCAAGTTTCCAACCCTTCCAAGAGAGGAGAAGCATTTCCCAGCAGGAAAAGGACTCCAGGGACTGTCCCGTTGTGATTCCCCTGTAGGAGTGCTGTGCTGACCACCCACTTTACCAGCCCTGGCACGTCACTGGGGACCCCTCGACCAGGGAGTTCATCATGCATGATAAGGGAGTCAGGCTGCTCAGAGGGGCTCTGGGGAAACGCGGCAAGACACTAGGGAGGAGACCTGGAGAGGAAAGGGGAAGGAACTGGGGCTGATGCCTCTTCTGCAGATGCTGACCTGGGGCAGTGGACGGCGGGGCAGTGCCTTTCAGCCGCCGCGTGTGGTCTTAGGAAACGCTGTGGACCTGCAGGCCTCCGCCCGACACCCCCAGGGCAGCTGCAGACACAGTGGGGCAGCCTCGCGCAGGCGCACCAAAGCACCCAGCTCAAGGGCTGACCAAGCTGTCTTCCAACAGGCCCCGAGTCAGCTTCTGGCCTTTGTGAGTTTGGCAAAAGCAATAGGAAAATTCCCAACAATTCAAGAGCTACGAAAGGACATAATTTCTTCTAATAGAAATACAAATATAATTAACATCAGGCAGAGGAACTATCAAAAATTCTTCAGGTTTCCCTGGACCGTTCCCTGAAGTCTCAGCTGTAGGTGAAAAGTGGGTCTTGATTATAACCTAGGGGGTGAGTGGCTCAGCTGTGTGCCCTGCAGAAGTTGAGAAACAGGCTTTGGGCCTAAAAGGCAAAGGCAGAGTGCACCTGGGCCTAACAGCCCCGCATGGTTCGCAAGCAAAAGCATTCAGCAAAATTTTGCTTCCGCATCCGGTGACAAACCTGACTGCGGCCATCTTCCCCCAAAATGGTAAAACAAATTAAGTTCATAAACCGAGACACACTGTGCACTCCGGAAGCTAAGGGCAGTGCCCGCAGAGAGGGCAGAGCCTGGAAGAAGCCCAAGGCCTGAAAGCTAATCTCTGCCTGTGCCTCAGGGCCGCGAAGCTCCCTGGTACTCGGGCAGGAACCAGAAGGCCTAGATTAGGGTTTTTGTGCGGAGGGAGTATAAACTCAAAAGCTCACGCGCCCCTAGGCGGAGCTTTAGCAGGAGACCGGAAGAGGTGAGTCGCTGTGGGCGTGGCCTGCCTCCATAGCTCCTCGTTTCCTGCTGCGTCCAGTGCACCAGGTCGCTCTGTGGCGCCTTCGAGCCAGCTAACTGGAGGGAGATGTGAGCCCCAATAAGTCTCTTCTACTCTGTGGCTCGGACCGGGGATTTAGCTCAGTGGTTTCGCCGCCTGCTGCGCAAGTACGAGGACCCGAGTTTGATCCCCGGTACCAAAAAAAAAAGGTGGCATAAACTGTGGCTGTTGGGTATTGTGTCCCAGCGACAAGGAGGGTGACTAAGGCAGGCAGGGTGACTTATACCATCAGCAGATGCACCACCCGGGAACTTGGCCCAAGAGTCACCCCGTCACCGATCCTGGTCCAGTGTGTGACGGAGGCCTGACACTTCTGTTGGCTCTGTGGAAAATGATGAAGGGACCATTGTCATGCCTACATTGTAGTTAGGGAGACAGGAACACAGTGGCATTCATTTCGTTTTTCCCCTTCTTTGTATAATGGTTTAAAATTTAAACAGAGAAGAAGCTGTAAGTTTGAAACAGGTGCTTGGGAAGTCTGCATCCCTTATGGGCCTGCAGAGAGAGTGCTACTAGCAGGTTCTCCCCGTGCCACATACTCGGTAGTTACTGATTATTCCCACTTGTCCAGCAGTGTGCAGGAGCAGAAATGCAGGGGAAGCACGAGGCCAACTCTTGTCCTCGTGTCTGCACAGATGTGTGAGTGTGCACGTGTGCATGTACGCATGTGTAGAGAGGGAGATTATGGCTTGCAAAACTGCAGCAAGAAGGCCAAACTCCCTCCGGGTAGGAAATAAATCTGATACATCCTGCTCTTGCCCTTTCCTACTCTGCTAAGACAGTGATCGCCTGCACCTTCACCTAAGAAATTGGCGGTGACGCGCCAGGGGACAAGCCAGGTCCAGGTGGAGGGAAATGCACGTGTACACACACAAGGCGGGAGTGAGGCGCTGGCCCTTCCTCCAATTGCCCCGAGCCCCAGGTGAGTGTGGTTGCAGATTTACCGAGGAAATGCAAATGCCCAGTTAAACAGGAACAGGAAAAGAAAATATCAGGAGGGTCACAGGTGAGGGCTCGCTGGTCTCACAAGGCAGGGCCTGACATGAGCAGGATATCTACAGCGGCTTAATTTTTCCTAAAGCTTCAAAGCGAAGCTGACTTCTTAGAAAAAAGGGAACCAGTCAGAGAGGCTCTGGCCTTCACTCAAAGCATCCATAATTCACACAGACCGGGAAGTGAAAACAGCTTCCTTTTGTTCCCTTCTCAACAGCTCAGTCTTTTCAGGAGGGAGAAAGTGAAAGGCAGCAGGGGTTCCAAGGTTTCAGGCTATTGCTCCTAACAGAGGACTGACTGACTGGCCACTGGGCGGCACTGGCTCCGAGACTGACCACCGGCACTGCCAAACTTCCGGGCAGGGCCAGAGCCTCAGCAGGAAGAACCAACCGGTGCTCAGGACCCTGGAGCAGGTTCTCCAGTGGGAGACTCCTTTGTCCCTCACTGTCCACCCCTGTGAGTCCACTGCAGTGAGTGAGGGATGCTCTGAGCTCTTCTCTGCCCCTGGCCCTCTTCACCCAGATTTCCTAGGAGCACTTGTCACTAGGCACTAGCGGGACGGTGAAGGGAGCTGCAGAGCTGCCCTGGACACTCTGAGAGCAGATGTTCTTTCTCTTTCTAGCCCCCTTCAGCACCCTTTGCTAGGAGAGTCTCTTTCCTTTCTCCTTGGTGAAAAGATGACACAAATATCGCTACTGTATACAGTGGACCGTTGAGTTATGAGCGGCCTGACCTATAGACAACTTGGGTTATGACTGGAATTTTAGTATTAACTTATGACAAAGTCTTGAGTTACAACTGAATGCCGGCCGCTTGTGCTCCCAGATGGTCTCAGATACAGATTTAACCCTTAAAGAGTTCTGGAAGGAGCATAACAGCATCCTTTCCTGTGTGGGGTTCACTGAGAAATCCTGGGCCAGTGTCTCTCTGAGGACACTGAGATCTACCTGTACACAGAAGAGAGGCTTTGAAGGCTGTGTAGAGGAGCCTGAGCCTTCACTGACCAACCTGGGTTACAACCAGCCCTCGGGAACAAATTGAGTTCATAAGTCAAGGGTCCACTGTACCAAGTTTAGGATACATGATCCCTGATCCCGTCAGAAGCCCAGGCCAGAGGCTGGGGTGGAGATGGGAGAGAAGTTCCAAGGCCAGCAAGGAGGCAGCCAGACCACTCTGGGCCCACAGGCCCTGCTCAGGACCTCTCCCCTTGCCCTGCTGCTCACCCCAGCAGCTATGCATCGCTGTACCCACAGAGAGAGGCAGTGACTCGGGGAAGGCAGACACGCCCCCATACCCAGCCTGTCGGTGGTCCCGGGGGTTCTCTGAACACACACGGCCCAGGACAGGGCCCATGAGTTATGCAGTCAGCAAGAGGGTGAGCCAGGTACAGTGAATGTTTTCTTTTTGTAGGTACCGGGGATCAAACTCAGGTCCTTGCGCTTGCGTAGCAGGCGGCGAAACCACTGAGCTAAATCCCCGGCCCTTACAGTGAATGTTTTCTGAATTCAGAAGAACTTGAGGTCAGTGACAGCAATTAGCATATTCTGGAGGGAGCAAGTACCTTGAGAGGCAAATAGCTCTGCGGACAGAGCAGAGGTGCCCCCCAGGGAGGGAGCAGTCAGCAGAAACAACAACCACAAGGAGCAGTTGTGTCTGCAGTTCTGGGAGGGGCTGGGGATCTATCATCTGAGCCTGGGGGCTCCAGGTGGGGAGTGGCGGGCTCAGATGCCAGAAGGTGGGCTCAGATGCCACCTTTGGTGGGTTCTCCTGGTCCATGAGCAGACTTTAGAAGCCTTGGAGCTGGGCTCCCGCCAGCAGTGCAACTCTGTCACCCCTCCTGAAGGAGAAGGCAGGAAACCGGTGGCTTCCACGAAGCAGAAACTGAAAGCTGGTCTCACCAGAGTCCTTCCCCCAGCATTCAGATCCAGAAATAGCAGAGGAATTAGCAAGAGCTATGCCATGGACCAAGGACTGGAAGGAAATTCAATCCCTGCTTCTTGGTTTTTCCAAAGAGGACGCCAGCCCTCCAAGCCTCCCGCCTGTCCTTCCTGAGGGTATTGGGCTTATATTCTGGTCTGGGTCCATTATAGAGGGGTTGTCCCTTGCCTGTGGGCTGTGACCCTTCTGCAGAGAGAAGGTGACTTCCAAGGGGGGTCACTGATATGTGATCACATTTACCCTCTGAAGCAAGGAAATATAACTCCTAGGTGCACCGTGGCTAGTATCTCTGCTTATATAAAGCCTTCCGAGGTGAACTCCGGACATCAGGGCAGGGAAATTCAAGTTCTGACCTCTTCCACTGATGGAGCATTCCTAATGGTGCCTCTCTGTCAATCTTCAGGAACCTCACAGCACACCAATATTATTGATAAACCAAGCCCATCCAACCCACCACCGTGAAGGCAACGTGATTGGCTCTCATCTACATATTCCTGGCATTGTGAGGTCTCAGGAGGGAGTCGAGTTTGGAGAAAGAGGGGAGGATGTGCCACCCAAGTCTTCTGGACTCTAAACTGGAATCTCCCGACTTTTCCCGTAGGGACAGACTCCCAGGATCAGAACCAGCCACAGACAACATCCAGCACAGTCTGGATTTATGTGAACCCACAAGTTCCTGTTATGGTTTCTACCTGGTTGTCCAGCCAAAGCCTCCTGTGCTCAGAGGCCTTGCCTGTGGAGGGTGACTGGATCATGGGGACGTCACAGCTGGCCTGGTGTCCGCAGGTGGGGTCTGGTTGGAAGGGGTGGGCCACTGGGGCCATGACCCGGAAGGGTCGATCTCCTCCCTGGCTTCACCCTTCAGGCTCTGCTTCCGGTCAGTGACAGCTGAGGAGCTTTTCCCTGTCCAGCCCTGTCCACCATGCTGCAGACCGTGCAAGCACTGAAATTTCTAAAACATGAGCCAGAATAAATCTCTCCTCATTAAATTTTAGGGTTGGGTATTTTGTTCCAGTGACAAGGGAAGTGACTAAGACTGTTTCTTATCTGGACCACCTAGCAGACCTCATGTTGGCTTTTGAACATGAAGTTTCCAAGTGACCTTTTATGAACAATGAATTCAAATGCTTTATCTGCTTTGGAGAAAGTGGCTCTATTGCAGGGCTCAACTGATTTCTTTTTACATTGCTTAGTGAAGTGGGGCATTTCCAAACACCATCTTCCCAGAGGATGCCAAATCTAGTACTGTCCTCATTGGTCATACTGATGTTTATTAGGATTACGGTCCTAATTTCCTGGAATAAATCAGCACATTGATTTTCCCTCAGAATTCCTGATAGTGAAATTATGAACAAAACCAGGGTTTGGGCCCACATTAGGATCTATGTTCCCAGAAGTCCTTCATGTTTCACAGTGAACTTCCGGGAAAATGGTGACTTGGTGAGCAGCAGGGAGAGGGTCTCCCAAGTTTGGTGTCCAGGCCCGGAATAAAGCAACATGAGGAAAAGAAGGGCGGGAGTCCCTGCGACCCAGAAAGGATGTGAAGAGAGAATTGAAGCCCACGGAGACAGCGAAGAGAGAATCTCCAACAAAGAAGGAGGTCACAGGCAACGCTGTCTCCCTGCGCCCAGACTCACTGCGTGGGAAGGGCGACCCCAGAGACCTCAGCAGAGAAACAGGCCAGTGGTCGGTGAGTTGCTGGGGCTTGATGTCCCTCAGGAGAGCGCAACTGGCCAGCAGCCATCTTGGAGAGGGGCCGAACGAGGAACTGCTGAACTCAGAACTCAGGACAGCTTCGCGCCGGCTCTGTCGTGGCTTCCAGTGTCAGTGTCTGAGTTCAAACCCGCAGGAGGTCAGGGAGCCCAGGTCCAGCCAGCAGGTGGAACGCTGCAGGCTCCACAGGTCCAGTTCCAGCCTCACAGCCAGAAACCAGGCTGAACTTCAGAGGAACTAAAGGTGCAGGCTTGCTGGGGTTGCTCACTACCCTGTCGTAAAGCTACAGCGGCTGGCTTGCTGGGATTAACTCGGATCTGTACAATGCCCATGCTGCCTACCAGTGACAGCAGAGACACGCCTTGAAGTGGACATTTTTTTTGTTTTCTGCTTTTTTTATTTCTCTTTTCTTATTTTTGTTTCGTTTTTTCTTGTTTGTTCTTATTTTTATATGAGTGAGAACATAGTCTCTAGTTTTTTGTTGCTGTTTTGTTCTGTTCTTGTTTTTTTTTCTTCCCTCTTTCCTTCCTGTCTTCATCACCATTTTCCCAAAGTTTGTGTGATGTTCCTTTGTCCTCCAGCCTTGCTTCTAATCTCTTCCTCTTCTTATATTTCTCTATCCCCACCCCCCAACTCCTTTTAAATTTTCTCCCCAAAGGGTAAGATCACTATACTGAGGGCTTATTTACTGCACACAATTTTCTGGTTCGTTTTAGATTTTGTTATACAGCCACAAATCTAGTTCATATAGTTAAAGGTGAAAAATTAATAGTTACCACAATTTGTCATTTTCTAGGCTGTGTTTGATGCCATTGTTACTGCTGATTGTACTACTTTAGCCAAGGCAACATAACTGTTCTAATCAGTTGTTCTTCCTGGTATATCAAGACAGAGATTGCCCAAGAGTCATAAAAAATATGACAGGCCAGTGCCTAAGAACCAGGGCTAGGCCAAGTAGGCAGAAACATCTCATCTCCAATAAATTAAAGAGGTAGGATCTTGCAACAGACTCAAAACCCAAAAGCCAGCTACACCTGGAAGACACTTCTGAGAAGTAGCCATTTCCTAAGGGTTCCAAATACTAACAAAGCTACTTGCCATAAGCAATTTACAAGCATCAACCCAGGAATTAAACTAAAAATTAAAAAATAGAAAATGAAAAGACACAAGATTCAGATTCACGAGTCCAGGCTGGATCCCACGTCTCTCTGGTCCCTTTCATGGGGTCTCAGAATAGTTGGATGATGCATGATCTACATAGAACTATCCATAGGAAATCCACTAAGAAGTGTTTTTCATTCTGCACTAATTAAAACTTGAAATCTATTTGGTAGGTTTCAACCAGGATTTTTTTTATATAAAACTTAACCAACTGAAATAGAATACAACAAAATGCAATTGAACAGAATACAATAAAATGAAGTAGAGCTAAACTGAATCATGTGACATAACCTCTCATTCAGGGATGTGTGCTCGTGTGTGTACATACACACATGCGCGTGCGCGCGCACACACACACACACACACACACACATATGGCTCTTATGTAGAATGCATCTTTTATGGTCGGCCTAAATCAGAAGATTTCAAAGATGCTCCTCAAAGGTTCTGGTTTCCTTTCCAAGTCTGGCTGCCTCTTGCTGGTTGAACCTGCCAATTGGACTACCCCAGAAGCCAGCAGGGCCTGGTCTACTTCATCAATGTCTCTTGTCTCCTTTTGAGGGGAATAAGCCAGAGCTATAGTATGGGCAGGGTCCTGCAAGAGGCAGGGTGGGGACCACTTGCCTCCCAGGTTGAATTCCAGTGCCCTCTCCTCAGCTGTGAGGTCAGTGCTCTGAGCCACAGTGTCCCTGAAGCTGTCCATGCCAGCCCTCCCACACTGATTCCTCCTGGAGTGAGTTCCTCATTCCCTTCCCTGGGCTAGCCATGACACACAAGCTGCAGAAGGCCGAAGTACTGATGAAAGCCCAATTATTGGTGACTGGTCCAGTGTGCAGTGGACATGCTTAGATGGGAAGAGAGGTGGGAAGGCACTGGCTCAAGTCTGATTCAGTCCTATGAAGTTCTAAAAAGTATAGGGTTTGTGTTGACCTCTTAAATCCACCTGGGACAGTCTGCTAGGTTCCATCCAGGGGGGAGCACATTACAGAAGAGTGTAGATGAAGCCCTTTAGGTAACAGATTATAGGAAGAAAAGTTAATGGACTTATTAACGAATAAGTAAGGATATACAGAAAATGTATTGCTCTTCATTCATTAAATGAAACTGATTAAATACCTGCCATGTCTGTGGCGGAACTCACTCACAGGAAGTACCAACATTGCACTTGTATTAATACAGTACTAAGTCTGTACAACTAAAAGAACTAATACTTTCTGGAACATTATCTCATTGAAGATTAGGCTTTCTGTTTTGATCAGAGGAGTATTCAGAGTAATATAGATATATAAGAGGGTTATGATCAATTACAGAACAATCACAAAGAATGGTTCAGGTGCTGCTTACTGTTTTTTCTCTATTCTGTTTTGCTTTGGCCTAAAGGGATCCCTGGCAAGAATATCAGGTCTTTCTTTGACCTATAATAAAAGCAAACTTACATGGAAGAAGAACACAGATTTCGATCCAATGAGAAAAGAAGCCTGTGCCCATAACCCAGTTGGGAAGACTGGAGCTCACATGGGAGACTGTTTCTGGGGTCCTATGTGATGGCTGAGGCCTCCCACGGATGTCCATATCCCCCATAAACAAGAACCTTGCTATCTGATGGGAAGAAGCCCAAAAAGACTTGGAAAAGTCTGGAAGTGCCAGGGCAGATGATGGGTATAGTTAGAAAACAACAGAAAGTTAGGCTTTCTATCAACCATGCACAGAACAGTTTCTTCATCTGTTAAAACTGTTTCCTTCATCCTTCAAGACTAACCTTGGGAGCAAAGCTTACAGTATACATACAAACTGCAGCAAACACAGGATTTGAATTTGACCAACCATGGGCAAGGGGACCAGAGCCCAGCTTCAAGACAAGATGTTACAAGACACCATAAGCTCCCTTCCTCTGGTCACTCCTCCACTTCCAGAATATTCTCCCACCTTGGGTGCAGTCCTGGTTCCATTTTCCTGGCTTCCAGCCAGATCTGCCTCTGTGTGCACCAACCCACCACTAAGCTACTCAAACCCTCATCCAGTTCAGGGTGTCTTGACTCCCTGCAGCAGGGGCCGCAATCCCACCTGAGCTTTGATCCTCAAGTCTGTCACTGGGTAGAAGACGGATTCACAGGCCTCTGGGCAACTCTGGCCATTTCATTAGGCATCTCTCTTTTCTGATGTGTGTGAAGTCCCTAGAATGGGCTTTGAGGAGTGGGGACAATATGGGAATTTTCCCTGACAGTTGAAAACCAGTGTTGGGATAAAATAGGAGGGGACAATGGATTGTGGTTTCTATTCTCTTCCCACATTACGAAAGGTGCATCCTAGTAAGGGTGAGTGATAATTCTGACAATAAGTGGACAGGTGTCCCCAAGAAAAGCAGTTCAGTACCCAGCAATCACCAATTTCGGTTAGGTTTTTAGGTTAGTTAAACTTGGAGGATGGAGGCTATTTGTGGCTTTCTGCACAGGAGCCCACCCTGTGTCCTCTAGGGTGTACTTTTTTTTTTTGGTACCGGAGATCAAACTCGGGTCCTTGCACTTTCCAGGGTGTACTTTTATCTTAGTTTTCTCTTCTTTTTGGCCCAAGCTTGCTCTGCAGAGCCAGTTTGTTCCTCGTTCTTTGCTTTTACTTTTTCAAATAAACTTTATAATCATTTTTTGCTCACTTCATTCAATTCTTTGTTTGAGATGAGAAGAATCTAACCAGGAAGGGTCTGTGTTGCGGAGTTAGGGATTAAGAGGATGAGTAGTATTGAGAAAGAAAGGCTCGCAGCAGGAGAACACAGGAAGTAAAGGTGCTGATTTGTTCTGGAGACGAGTCTGAGAGGGTTCCCTGTAGACATAGGTCTTGGATTATAGTGTCTAGGGAGGAAGAGGGCGAATAATGGGGGAATTTTTCTATTAGGATGGTCGAGAAACAGGAAAAGTTATGAAGAGAGAGATTCATGGGGCTGTCTGGCTGAGGCTTTGATCTCTTCAAGTCACAGGAGGCAGCTGGATGATCTTCGTGGACATGGGTTCAGTTTCTGTCCACTGGAAAAGGGGAGCCTTTTGCAGACAGAAGTGGACCCGAA